GAAAATTATCTTAGATGCCGTGCAGCCTACTTGCACATACAGTTCACTGTGGTCATATATACATGGTGCATATTTCATTTAAATATCTGGCACAAGTTTGTTTTTTTTTAACTATGTTTTCTTTGCCTCTCATCCAAGGATATGCACATACAATGGAAGGGTATGTAGTTATAAAATTGTTGAACAGATGTCTGCATGTATTTAAAGGCTATCTTAAAGCATGACTGCTCTGCACAACTACTTAATTTCTACTTCTAATTTCTACTTAATCTACTTCTCTGCACAACTTCTTAATTTCTACTTAATTTCTTCAACTACAAAGTTGCAATGCTGAAATAAAAGTTCGAAAGAGTTCAAACAAGTTAATTCAGCTGTGCCAAGATCTGCCTAAGCAAAAAAGAAAAGGGAGAAAAAAAAAAAAAAAAAAAAGAAGGAAACAACGATTAGAAAGCTTGATCACACATCCAAACCAATTTCATGCTATCTTTTTGTCACTCTGGATATTTATTTCCTTCTGGTGTTTTTGGTGATTTTCTTATTAGGGTACTGCTTAACAAATGGCACAGTTAATTTCCATATAGAACAGTAAAAGAACACTCTCTTACCACCCCTTTTGCTTGTCACTTTTTTTTTTTTTTTTGGCAACCCATTTTAAACAAGCAGGAGTTGTTGTACGAGAAAGTTCTGATTTTCCTCATCTAGCACTACATGTCGGCATTCACACCAGGGGCAAGCCAGGAGGGTGAGACAGCGCAGCTCACAGAAGAGATGAACTGAGACTACTCTCCTGCTCTCCTGTCTAAGGCAGCCTCTACCATCTTTTCCTCCTCTCTCTGGAGGTCACCGGTTCAGTGCAAAGCCAGGTTGCCCTTCGGCTGGAAACCGATGGGGTCAGAGAGGCTGCGAGTCGATGGGGACTGCATTTCCCCCACTCCAGACGTGGAGGGGGCTTCAGAGCCGGGCTGGGCACGGCAGGGGCGAAGGGCAGGAGGAGAGCTGCCATCCCTGCCCTCCCAGGGCTGAGGCTGAGCAAAGGAAGAACAACAGACTTTCCATCAAGCTGAGCTGTGGTGTAACAGCTCTCAGAAAAGGGCACAGCAGCAGAGGGAAAGCCTGGGCATCTCCAGAGCTGGCTGGGATGTTAATATCCTGTCCGACTGACTGGACCGAGCTTTGGGCAGTACCTGCAGTCACAGGACCAGCTTTGCCTTTTTAACAAGACAACGTAACACACCACGACAGTAAAGACAGATCACCCCCTGGCCCCCAGACCCTATTTTTCCCTTTCAAGAGGAGAATTTGCTGTAAATAGGTCCCAGGGGACCTTTATAAAAAAGCCAGGCCTGGTATCTGTCCAAGCACCACATAAAGGTTGGGTGAGCAAAGAAAAAGTAATTCACTGCATATGTATAAGACTGGCCATGAAATCTGTGACAGCAAAGTGCTGGAATGATTTCCTGTGGATCCCAGCATCACAACTCAACAAAGAGCAGCAAAGTGAGCATATAACACTATGTCTTGTGTGAGCAAGTGTCATCCTCTGTTGTTAGTAAATAATAAGAAACATTTTGTTATATAAACAGATCCCTTTTCCAGCATGGGCTCAGGCTATGAAGAAAGCAGGATTCAACCTTTAAGCTTCTCACAATTCAATTCACTGTAAAGAAATAGATGTTTCAAATATGAGTCTAACGTTTGGGTTTCAACAGAGGAAGTGCAAATGGGAGCGCACTCAGACCGGTACCGCATCCTTCACACACTGACCTGCTTTGTAGGATTTGCTAGGCTTGACTTTTTTTCATTTTCACATTAGTTCTACAAAAAGCAAGAAAGCTGAGATCAAGTGAAGCCTGTACTCGCTGCAAATGATTTGTCCCAGCACAGCTGGTGCTACAGCACAATTCCTTTGGAAGAGGAGAGAGCAAAATGTTATGCTCAGTGCCAAACATCACCCAGACCCCGTTAAGTCCAAAACCTGTGAAGTTACCTTTTGCTCAATACAGTAGTTTAGTAAGGGGAACAGGCAACGTAAATACCATTAAGGACAGTCAAAATACACAGAACAAAGACCTTCAGCCTTGGGTTTCTTGGGTAATTCATTCGAGGGCTCTGCTACTCTTACCACCCTGAAACCCCTTTCATAACTGTACTCGTCTTCAGGCTGGGCCTTTTATCCCACTGCTCATTCTAGCTGTTCAGCATCCCTCTCCTCTGTTCCTTACAAAACCTGTGGGGCACATCTGTACCCATGTGCTTCACACCAGTGCTGTCCTTACTTCAATAGCACACGTTCCACATAGGGCTTATGGGCAGCAGTCATCTCTCACCTGCCAAGCACGTCTGGGTAGCTGAGCAAGTCAAGTTCCCCAACAAGGTAACTTTGCAAGTGGGTAAGAGAGCCCCACACTGGGCATGTGCTGAGCTGTGCAGACGAAGCAGCCTGGGAATAGCCTCGTTAGCAGGATGCTGTGTTCCCGCTAACAGGCTCTGGCTCCCCTGTGCTACTACACACAGTGCTTTGCTCAAGTCTAAGTAGATCGGGTCTATCACATTCTGCTTTGTCCAAAAAAATCGGTTATCTTCTCAAAGAAATGTACACAGTTCATCTGTTAAAAATCTACCCCTGGTAAATCACAATTATTGTTTCAAGGTTAGAATATCAAGCCTGCAGCTGCCCAGTGACTTGACTTTTCTCTGTCTCACAGAGGTACCTTAAGTGAATTTATCCTCAATTCAATGCCTTTCATAAATGCTCTCAGGCTTTACAGTGGAGCTCCCTTAACGCTCAAAAAATAATTCCAGTTTAATGACTCCATGCAGAAGGTTTATTGTTTCTTCTGAGAAAAAAAAAAAAATAAATTATTTAACAAGTAAATCTCCACTCTGCTGTCAACATCAGTTTTCTGTCACTACTGTTGTTATTTTGGGAATTATAATTACGAAACAAACAAGCTGTTTCACCCACTGACTGGCACCCGCTGCTTTCCTCTCCTGTATCCATCCACACGTATCACACCGGCACCAGGCCTGCCTTCTAGGAGGAGAATTCTGTGTTATCTGAAAAGCTAGAAGATTCACCTTCATTGTCACAGCTGGCAGAAAAAGCTTCACATCTACCCAGTCTACCTTAAAGAGAATATTTTTTCTCTCGCTCAAGTAATGTAGTTCAACACTGGCATCCTGTGGCCAGAGACTCAAGTAACTGTGTTCCAAACGCTCTGAGACTTTGCAGAAAATGCCAGAAATCTCCTGGGCTTGATAAGGGAAAACTTCCTAGTCCCTAAATGTCAAGGCTGAGAAATTATAAGCAGGCAAAAAAATAACTATTTAATAGAATGTCCTTTCGCATACAACTGCTTTCATTTGCACTGGAGCTATCTACCCATGCCCAGGACATTGCCAGTAACTTATAACTTTACGGATATAAAATCAGGGAGATCAGAGTGTGCCAGCCTTAAACTAACGTCTTTTCCTGTAAATACTTTCTGCACTATTGTCTATGGACTTCCCAGCATGAACTGAGAGGGAATTTCATAGATCCTACAACAGATAGGATATAACTATATAACCTATATTTTTATATATATATATGGAAAGTACATATAGTGTTGCAGTACTATATATATATAAACTCTTTCTTTTATTGAGCAGCTCATTTTAAATCATCCCTTAAGACTGAAACACAGAAGACAATATGCATTTTTAATTCAGCACCTATACAAATAAACTATTTAAAAAAAAAAACTTTAATGGGTTGATTTTTTTTCTTTTGCAGCAAAATACATTTTCTTTCAGTTTTGTTTAGCGAATTATCCATCATTTCCCAAACATTTTGCCTACATTCTTGTTTCACGTTTTGAAAGTTACCTCCATTTTGGGAACCTCCTAGCATGTTGAGTAATAAAAAAGAGAAGAGGAATGGGGAGCTGTAATAAATGATACTGACTTCCTTCTAACTGAAGTGCTCCAACCAGCAATTCTCCAGCACACCAGAACTTCCACAAATGCTTTCAAAAACTTTCAGAAATGGTATAAAAATGACTCTCAGTATGTTTCAGATGTGAAATACTGCAGCCAAGTTACTCAGCAGTCATTTTTATGAAGCACAGAAACAGTTTCCACAGAGGTGTGTCAGGCACGGTATATTTATCTATCATTTTGTCGGGAGCCACCACTGAGGACAACATCCCTGTTCCAAGCCTGTCCCATTCCAGATACTCCTCAGTGGTCCACAGACACATGGTCTCAGGAGGGAGCACCAAGCCCATCCTGTCACCACAACTGTGATGTTTAAGTTTCCAAACCCATTCTTCTAGGAGCAAAATACTTTCTCTATTTGCATAGGCCAACAGCCTGGGGAGGGAGATTTAAAAGGGGATTTAAAAGGAATCAAGGGATTTAAAAAGAATCAGATGTTTGTAGGGGAGGGAGGGGGGAAGGAGGCAGGGGGCAGAGGCATCCACTCCTTTCAAGTCCATCACTTCAGCTGCAGAAGAGGCTTGCTGTAAACGTATCTCGGTAGTTAGCAGACGTTGATTGTAACTGGCAGAGCAACGCGACAGCACGTGCTGAAAAGAAACTTGCATTGTCATCCCTGGATCAGAGCAGTCCATCACTTCAGCTGCAGAAGAGGCTTGCTGTAAACGTATCTTGTAGTTAGCAGACATTGATTGTAACTGGCAGAGCAACGCAACAGCACGTGCTGAAAAGAAACTTGCATTGTCATCCCTGGATCAGAGCAGCCAAGGGGATCGATCGGAAGGATTTCACAACACAGGGAGCCCTGAGAAATTCTGAGTCAGCACGAAGGAGAAGAGTCCCTCAGGGACTTACCTAAAAGCTTTCTGAACCACTTTGGCTTCTTGTCCCATACAATGAAGAGGTAGTAGGCAGGAACTCCAGTCAGGGTTATTGCAAATCCAATCCCTGTGTTCACTGGGTCAGCGTAAAGTGACAGTGCAACCATGAAGAGGCAGGTGAAGGAAAACAACGCTGGAATAAAGAGAGGCACCTGAAACAGAACCACACAGAGAACCATTACTTCACATTGACCTTGTTATTGAACGGCAATGGCATTTAATGTTCCATGAAATGTAAATTGGACAAAACCCAGCAGTATAGAACAGTTCTGGAGAAATGGGGGATCTACAACATGTAGGCAAAATGCCAGTGACCGCAGAAACCAAGCTACACAGTGCTACGCAGTATGTACCATAGAAGTCTTTTAATTACACACTAAAACACTATGGTGTTTTACGTCCTTTAAAATGTAGGGGCTGTAAATATGTTACATTAGGAAAGTCCTTTCTCTAATCCTCCAGTAGATAAGTAAGCAGCACTAACTGCAGTAAAGATTTGCTCTTTGATAATTACCTATTAGAAAACATTTTAAAACACAACCAGGAGCTCAAGTCACCTTTTAAAACTATTAAGAACATATTGATTTTCTTCCTAAGGTAAAAATCAAAATCTGGCAGGAAGAGAGCAAATTAAACACCAATTTGACCAGTGATAAAGATATTTGATAGCATTATGCAACTGATAGCTACTGAAAGAGCACTTTCTGACTGTATGACTGATAGTGTTATCAGTGCCTCTATTGAAAGTACCAAAAAAAATAACAATATCAAATTAATGCTCCCAATTTTCAAGAACACCACAGCAATCACTGTGTTAGCACCTCTATGAAGGAAAAGCCTACAGGTATGGCTGGTGAGATATTCGGTATAACAGAGAACTGGGTAATTCCTTGGAGATTATTCTCTTCCTTTCACTACTGTTTCTCTCTTGTGCACTGTCAAACCATTTTTTTTTAATTTAAAAAAAAAAAAAAAAAGAAGTTGTGCTGTTGACCATCTTATTCACAGACATATCTACAAGAACACAACAGCACACATTCTTAGTTCTTCGTAAAATAGGCTTCCTGGCAGAATACAAAGGGGAATAGATTCCTACATTTTTTTTTCATGATGCATGTTATATTTCCAGACACACAATGGGACAACTTACTTTGTAAGATGTTACTTACGGTAAGCAAGAAGAGTGGCAGAACCAAGGCCAAAACTGTTCAATGGGCCAGGCTATTAGCATTTTCTTTCTGGGTTCACAATAACTGATTCTGCAAATCAATTACAAGTCCCAGATAGCACAGTAATAGCACTACTAACTTATTTGCACATGAAATTGGCATAGTCTATATTTGATGGGCAATTAAATAAATGTTTAATATTAATTATTATGCCCAACATGATTTCTGGTGGCAAAATCATTCAGACCTTTATCAAAGTAGACAATAAAGAGAGGACTGGCTGAAAATTGGGTTGGCACACGTAACCCTCACATTTGCAGTATGAAGCCTACACAGGACTAGAGGTATTTTCGCACCGCTTGCATCACACCACCTCAATGTGACAGGCAAAATTGAGCAAACATCTTCAGTTTGGCACAGCAGCTTCAGTCACTGCCCCACAAGCACCAGGGAATAGGTAAGAATTGTCTTTTAGAAGGGGATGCCGCTGGGGTAGCACTGGGGAGCTTGCAGGAAAACACAAGGAGACCCTTAAGTAAAGACACTACTTCTATTAACTCTGTTTTTCTCAAAAAAGAGGTTCGCTTTCTACATCAGAAAATGCTCCTTTGCTGTCTGACTGCACAATAGATACAAGAGAGAAGGATTCATGTAAAACAGTAGAGAGCACAGGTTACCTTGAAAGGACGAGGCATATCAGGACGTTTATATCTCAGATAAATCAACCCAGCAACTACTAGTCCAATAAAAAGCCACCTGGCAAAACTGAGGAAATTCAGGAGGCTGTAGAGATCCCCGTTGAATAACATTATCATTGTGAGAGGATGCTGCAAAAGAAATTCAGAGCGTAAGAGGGGTTTAGTGGATTGATCTCTATTATTTTACAGCAGCGATGCCAAGTCTTCCCATGGGGATCAAGCAGCACAGCCTTTTGCAGGGACACCTGAGGGCCACAGACATCAAGCCTGCCTTTGCCATGCAATCAGGTGAGTGACTGACACCTAGCTGTCCCCTGAGATCACGTTCGATTAATATATATCTGTCCTGGGTGGCCATATGTGATCAATACATAGCTGTCCCCTGTGACCCAGACAAACGCACAGCCCACTGCCTCACCAGGATGCCTGAGCATCGTGGGTACCATTCTCAGGTGACCTGGCAAATATATTAGCCCACTGCAGTTTTACTCGCTCATCACTGATGCAAATGACAAGAGCAGTTAAATTTTGGTCACATCTAGTAATATGACCGCAGAGGTTTCCAGCTGTCTTGTGGAAGAGGAAAAATTCTTATGTTCCCCCAGGCTGCAACAGGGGAAATGAACTAGGAGGGCATGGCAGGGGCTGGCTGCACACGATGGGATGTGGGCTGGGCACACCAGGTTGTATTTGCAGTGTGCTGTTCAGGCTTGCAGGGTGTAGGCTTATTGCACATGGGAAATGCAAATATTTCTAAGCAGAGAGAAACATTTAGCTGTCACTCGGGTGGCTACTGAACAGCAAGAAGAAGCGGGGACACCAGAATAAATACATCTCCTCATTAAAAAGGTGTTCTGAGAAATGAGATTTCTGTGAGGGCAGGCAGAATAAACTAGTGTTGTGCCTTGGGTTGGATAATTAGCGTAGGCTACAGGGATCTATTTCAGGGTAGTCTCTGGATAAAAGCAGAATATTTGTAGCTTGGATCATCTATGCAGGGTTGTCCGTACTTCCCGTATGAGACACCCTGTTCCTGCAGTGACACAGTCCTTGCATTTGGGGGTGAAGGAATGGATCAGCTTCACTCCAGCAAGAGGGAGGACCCTGGCAGTGACAGCCTCTCCAAGCTGGTCACTGGGCAACAGGTGAAGTCAACTGCAGATGCAGTAAAACACTGAGATAAATCTTTATGTAAGGACAACTAACTCGTGCTAGACTGGCATCCTCTCTCTCTCCCTGTCCTTTTTTTTTCTTTTCTTTTTTTTTTTCTTTCTTTTCTTTAGCAGTGAAGACAGCATGGGTTAGGATCAGAAGGATCAATATTTCAAATATGGGTCTCTGGCATCCAGCCTCTAATGACTTACAAAGTGCTCAGTTCTTTACACACAGATATTAAGCAAACTTCTCTCTAAAGGTCAAAGCAAATTTTCCCACTGAATTATATTGGGCAAGATTTCTTCTATATAGACTCAGCCCCTAAAAGTTTAAAATCTGAGTTATAAGCGTGATAATGTAAGAAAGGGCAACAGACAGTGAAAGAGACCTATCAAGAAAAAAAAAAAAAAAAAAAGGAGTTATAATGAGATTGCATGATTTCTCAGAGATGCTTCACACACTTCATCAAATGCAGGACATACATACATAAACAGATTCCTCTAATTCCTAAAAATGCTTTTTTATTTAACAAGCCTCAAACACTGAATGTGCTCATTTTCTCAGTTTCTCCTTGAGACCTCTTTTCTTCCCAAGTGTATAGACCTTGGTAGGAGAAAGAAAATAGGGAAATGCTAAAATAGAAGACTGTTGATGCTGAATATATCCCGCAACTACTCTACTTGCACTCAGGCAAGAAAACAAATTACAATCTCTGAAGGAAAGCCATCTTCATGTAAGAATCTGACTTTCAAAGAAAATCAATGCACTAGTGGAACAGGACCAGATGCAAGAGCAGAAAATGTCTTTCATAAAAAAAAAAAAAAACATGTTAATACATTTAATGTATTTAACTCCACAGAAAATAGTCAATGCAATTCACCCAAAAGGTGTGGCTATTTCAGCTCAAAGAAATAAAATGCAAACTAAATGTTTATGTAAAATGAATTCCATTAAAACTTTTCACCATAATCACACTTCCTGGTTTTTTTAAAGTTGAATGCCTACAGTCTTATGTGCACATGTAAAATTCAACAGTTCAGCTGGCACTTCAGAAGTGAGCTTATAGGCATCTACAGCAAAAACTGACTTGAATCCCAATACAAGCATCTGATCTTGCTAGCGTACACTCCCAGATGCACATATGTCTTCTGCTGTGGTTAGAACTCCCTGCAGATGCAGAGGTCTGTCCAGATACATTAAGTTTTGGTCCCAAAAGAGGGGCTATGAAGACTACAAGTTAAGTGGAAATCTTCTTGGCACTATGCAAACCAAGGTTTGAGGTCTGTGTTTTGACATTTGTTCTAAAATATTACTGAACAAATTAGTCTGCAATGCAAACACATGGCCAACATTGAGCTCTGCCACTATTTCAGCAGTCAGTAATAGAATTTCCACTAGAACACTAGTGCTTTTCCTTAGACAATTCACAGACTGCTGCCCAGGCACACGTTCTCTCATTTTTTAATCACAGCTATGCTGCACTGCTGAGGGTTCCCCTTTCATTATCTTAGTTCATAATTGTTTGCATTTTTCACTCTAAGGTGGTATAATGAGCCTTTAGGGTGCTCCCAGATGCTGACGTTTAGCTGTGCTTTCAGTTAAATGAGGATCCTTTTTGTTTGTTTGTTTAACTGGAATTTGTTTCTCTGAAAGGGAACTAGCTCATGACTAGCAGGTCCTTAGAAATAAAGGGCAATAAGACATGCATTAGGTTGCAGCGACAGGCAGTCAAGTGCTACCCGACAAGATAGCAAGAAGGAGATGATAGAATAAGAACAAATCCCAAATCTCATTCCTTTCTTTACTGTCCCTCTGCCCTGCCCAAAGCCCACGTGCACAATAATAAATGAGACCCAAGCAGTGCCCAAATTCTTTTCGAATCCTCCAGAGCAAGCCTGTAATATGAATTCCTGCGCAGGAACATTTGTTTGTATGATTTACCAAAACAATGACAGCTGGCAGAGGAGTGTGCTTGCGGACATGAATCATGGAGAGAATTTCCGGAAGGTGACCCTCGCGGGATGCAACGAAGAACATCCTGGTGGGAAATAAATGTGGACAGACTTTAAATGTGCTCATTACTGTGACTAGGCAAAGTGTCTCGTGAAAGTCACAGAGCACAGCAGCACTTCTTAGGCTTGTTTGAGGTACTCTGAATGAAAAGACAGCAGGAGAAACCCATACGCAGGAATCAGTGTCATCTCTGAGCACGTCCCCTCCTCACCTTACACTATGATCAGGATTTTGAATTAGTTAATATTTTCCCTCCTTCATGTGAAACAAAGCAGCCATTAATTAAGTGCTACTCTTAGAGGGATCCATTTCCAAACCATTCAAAAGGTTTTAATAGTGAGATATTAAACCCAACAGGAACAAAGTGAGAAAAAGCCCCACACCTGGGAAACATTGCAGTCATTTGTCATTTCCAACTAAAGGAACGAATCCTACCCTCCCTTACCACTGCTTCCTTCCTTTCAGTGTATATCCCGTGCCCTTCACTCCAGTGATATTAGCAATGCTCACCTGGAGACTGCAAAAACGCCACCGTTCATAGATCCAAAGCAGGAGAGAGCAACAAATACTGGCACAGCTAAAGAAAAGTTTCCCATTAGTCGTTCAGCAAAGGTCTGTTAGAGGAGAGAGAAACAAATAGTGATTTTCATAAAACATGAAAGTAATTTTACTCTGTTAATAAGTATTCTAAGTTTTATTTGTACCCCTTTTCTACATCCCTCACTGAAAGGTGTGCTGTGCATGTGTTACCTCTGATTTTGTGACACCAAGGCTACTCCAAAGCCTCCCACCCATCCTCCTGACTGCACGTGGAAGATTGCCAGTTGAAGCAATGCTGTGGAGGGGGAATCAGGCCCCGATTTATGTCAGTTTAGATCATTATGACTTCAAAAAGAAGACACAACCTGAATGGATCAAGGTCTGATCTGCATACCTAATATTTTTTTCCACAGCCTTCATTTTACTCAGCTGATGCTACCTAGAGGTATAGTCCATCCATTCATGCTTTATTACTTTTGGTTACCAGAAAAGCCTTAATTGGAGTTTTGGGCACCACAGGAGACATGCGTAATATTTTTGAGGTTTGCAAAATGTTTTGCTTCTAAATCTCCTATGAGCTACAGAATTTGGTCATTTTTTAAATGCCACATCCATTGAAATAGCCACAGGCAGTGTCATGACTGGAAATTAAATGGAAATTTTTATTTCCTCATTGCAAGTCAGATACCGTAAATGTAAAAATCAGTGTCGTCACCACAATTCAGCAACAACAATCAAAGCAGTATTTCCAAGCCAGGTTGCCTTGCAGCTTGTTCCCAAATGAACTCCAGTATTCACAGCAACCCCGTTCCTAAGTACTTGGGACACATGTTGTGCAGAGACAGTGTTACTGCTTCCTGCCACAAAAAAAATAGTTCAGACTTCCCACTTCCACAGATATCTGTGTTTCCTGCTCCCTAGGAGCTTGGTCTACAATTTAGCAAAGATTTTTTCAAGTATGTACTTGACTACAGAATTTAAGTCCTATTAACTTTGTTATATCAGATAAATAAATATAGTCCAACACTACATTACAAATGCTATTGATGGCCCTAAGTGCAACCCCACTCATCAGTCCAAAGTCAGACCAAGTCCACTGGGATGTTAATATGTTGTGTAAAAAAGGAGCCATAGAAAATTGTGAACAGATGTGTCCCCCCATTTTTTTTCCCCTGGAAATAAGAACATAATCAACAAACACAACTGCAGCAGGGATACCAATTTGTATTTTTCTTCCGTAACTTACCACTGCTACAGCTTTTGAAAGCAGCAATTCCCGAGCACTGATTGTAGTGAAATAAGCCACGTTTGTTAACACATAGCCAACTGTGACGATAATCATTGAAATGCATATTGCGAGGGGTATGTTTCTGAAATACACAAGGTAGCTCATTATTTTGCAATCTGGTTGCCATTCCCTGAACATGAAACAAATAACATGAGAAGGAGCCACTAATGATGGTGAATGCACATTTGGCAATCCTGAAATATCATCATTAGAAACCACCACTAAAAATGACACATCTGAACAAAACCATCTTGACAAAGCAAACAGGTTTGTAATGAAGAGCTGTGAACCCATTTTGAGGGAGGGGTCCCTTGGGGACACCAAGAGGTCATGGTCCCCGTGCTTCCCCTACAAGAAGTATGGCCCATTTGAGCTGCCTATCCATATGGATTTGCAAGCTGAGCCTACTAAGAAAGCAGCAGATATTAATGCTTGAACCAGCAGTAAGGCTGATGACAGATGCAGGTGATCCAGCTCTGTCAGGAGAGCAATCACAGTGGCATCTCCAACATACCGACTGGCACTCAATGACTTCCCACCCAGAGGTGGTTCAACATCTTCCCCTGGGTGCCAAAATGCCTCACATGTGGATTTCTGCCCTTTCCTCCTCTGTGCAACTCTTCTCTCACACACCTTACCATATACCCCAGTTATCTCTCCCACTATTCAGGGATACACGAGGGCAGAATAAGACACAGAAATAGGAACAGCAGAAACGTGTACTGTTAGCACAGCACAAATAGTACTGAGCAGTACAAACCTCCTGACATCTTAGCTAAAAGACAGAACAATAACACACAAATAAATAATAGTGCCGAACTTTTATATAGCATGTCCTCCCAGTCAGCAAAGCAGAAAAGCAGAATTATTTCTATTCTAAAGAAGAGGGACAGAGGCACAGTGAATTTGTCTGAAGCCACACTGCAGGCAAACATTTGAGTTAGGAGCAAAACCCAGATGCTTCAAGTGTTACTCTGTTCTCTTTTCACTTGATATCATTTCTTGAGATCATTGATATTCGCATCACACCAAGAAGAGACTCAGATCTGAAACCAATGTCCAGTCCTTTAATTCCAAGGCCGAGAATTGGAAGGACACAGTGTGTACGCTCCCTCCGAGGAGAGCTGAGAGCTGCTGCTTCAGGGACGGTTCCCTCCAGCTGCCTATATTAAGATCGCTTTTGAAGAGATGCAAAGGTTTCTACATTTAGAGAACTCTGTTATGAAGGTCACCCCATCAGGTGGGAAAAAGGAGAGACAGACTGAGGAATTCTGGTGTCCCAGAAGAGACTGCAAGCACGTTTCTAAAAGACTCCTATAATTACCTCAAAGGACACAGACTTTTGAAAACCAAGGCAAAGATCCATTATTTTCTGATTTTTTTTTTTTCCTCAAAGAAACACAACTGGGTCAGAATTTAAGGATTCTCCTCACTACCGGTCCTTATTTCTCAAAGAAATCCTTGACATAGCTATGCCTGTATTGAGTTGAAAAGAAGCTCTAAACCGAGACTAAATAAATATAATAAAGTGGGACAACATCACTGTTGCAGATCTTTCCCACCTTATCAACCATGGTGTCAAACACGGTAATTAGCCCAGGTAAGGATCACGCTGTACTGCAGCACCAAATGCAGGTAGACACGAGGATACTGCATTAACCCATGACTACCTCAAGCACACGGCCTCAGGTGAAGAAGCTGGAAGGAGGGAAGCCAGTGAGCTTGTAGGATGTGTTTGTTGATGGAGAAGGCAATGGCAAAGACATGAGCAAACAGCCCAGAGTACAAGTGTTGTATTGCTGGAAAAACCACAAAGTTACTGACTCAAGAAACACTGCAGAACTGCGTGTTGATAATACGTCCGTGTGAAAAATGTTTTTGTAGCTCTGTTGCCAAATATTTTGCAACCAGTTTGGTTATGCTTCTTACTTGACTTGGGTGTAAATTCAGTTCAATCCACTCACCAAGGGAGGGGGATACATGGTTTCAAAGCCCCTTAGTACAGAGATTTTAATTATAGCTTCTGAACCACAGGTGCTTCAACCACCAAGCTATTGGATAAATCAGCGCTTATTCCAAGTTTAAAAAATTGATTCCAGCCAAAAATAGCAAATTTGTAATATTTTCCCAAATACCATTTGAATGACTGAAACCACATTGTTAAACTTAACAAAATATATTTGTCCATTCTAACTTTTACCAAACACCTGCTTGCTTTATTCGCTTCTAATTCCAATCCCCGTCTAATTTCCTCTAAAACAAAATGGCAGTTCAAAACTAAGGGGAGAAAGGAGGAAAAAAAAAAAAAAAATCACACTTCCAAACATGACCGTTTTTAGCACTGGGAGTCCTACCTCATTATGTTGAAGAGCACTAACCTCCTTGGATAGTAATACCAACAACAACAAAAAAATCAGGAGAAAAAAAATAAAAAACCAAACCAGAACAAGTCAGCAAGTACTATTCATTAAAAAGCCCACAGATCTCAACTCACGCCTGGAGCAGCACAAGGGATGCTGTGACTTCTAAGCTCCCAAGTCCTCGCCTTCTGAGCAAAATGAGCACTCAGGTGGCACCTCCTTTTGTCTCCGGGCAGGAGCAGGCCTTCAGAGGGCTGCTGGACATTCGCACACAGCCTCTGGGACTGCTGCTGATTAGGCACTGCTTTCAGTGACAGATTTAGGCAAAAATGAAAGGCCAGTCTCAAGATTTTGGGGATGAGTAACACGGTACGGTTCATTTCTCACTGACACTTCAGTCCAGATTTACACTTGGTCCTTGAATCATCTGAAAGCACAGACAGACAGGTAGGAACCATATGTAAAACGACTACGTGAGAGCTTTCATCATGTCTTTTTGTCCTGGGTCCAGCTGGGATAGGGTTAATTCTTCGCAGAAGCTGGGAGTTGGGCATAGCCGGATATTCGATACCATGCTGACGTCATGCCCGGGATATAAGGGGAAGCTAGCCGGGAGAGGGGTCTCTTTTGTGAAGCTCGTGGTGGTGAGATTTTCATTGTATCAGTGTTTCCATTGTACTCTATATCTTGTCTTATTGTTATATTCTTCTTTCTTTTGCTTTCCTCGTGTGGTATTATTAAAAATCTGTTGTTATCTCAACTCAGGAGGTTCCACTTTTTCTTATTTGCCCCCATCTTACCGGGAGGGGAGTGGGGGGGGGGAGGCGGTGTTGCGACCACGTGGTGGTGGTGGTCCTGACACCAAGACACTTTTCTATCCATCCAATTTAAGAAGCAGATCCCAGTTTGCAACAGGGTACCGTTATCAAACTCTCTGCTATGAACTACAGTCACTGCACTGGAATAAAAACTCCAGTGGCATTAGCATTAAAGATTACCTCCTTTCCTTGGAGAATCACTGCACCAATTTTATTGTCTTTTAGATATTCTCCTAGATTTCCAAATCTTCTCTCCAGATCAGGAAAAATCATACCCAAGTTCTATTCTCCATGAAGTTGCTTCTATCAGTGCCGTTTTCACCTTTTCCCTTCTGCATCCTATGAAAGGGTGTTAGCACACCGATAAATCACATTTCTGATACAATGCAAATTCACAACTGCCACACAGGTAGCCGAGAGTTTTGGAGCAGAGGGAGTCAGAAAATTCAATAAAAAATATTTTTCACTTTAAGATTTTGATTAATTGAAGCTAAAACTTTTGATGGGAAACTTGACCATTCCAGTATGACATTTCTTATCGCTCCTACAACTACGTGAAAGGAGGTTGCAGCGAGGTGGGTGTCAGTCTCTTCTCCAAAATAACAAGTGATAGAACGAGATGAAATGGCCACAAATTGTGCCAGGGAGGTTTATATTGGCTATTAGGAAACATTTCTTCACCAAAAGGGTTGTCAAGCACTGGAACAGGCTGCCCAGGGAAGTGGTGGAGTCACCATCCTTGGAGGTATTTAAAAGATGTGTAGATGTGGTGCTTAGGGACATGGTTTAGTGCTGGACTTGGCAGTGTTATGGTTGGACTTGACGATCTTAAAGGTCTTTTTTCAACCTAACCAATTCTATGATTCCTAGGAAAAAAATCTTAGAACCAAGACAGAAATCTCATCCAGCTAATAAAGACCTCAGAATGGCCAATGGCTCAAAAACCATAGCACTGTGTGTGCTCAGATAAGGGAGACCGCAAGATCTGATTGACTTAGAGCAGGCCCAGGGCTTGAACTTGCACTGAAGTGGCTACCGGTTACTGTGGAGCAGTGCTTTCCTTTTGTGTTTCATCTCAGAGTGAAATCTCAATAGGTTTCAAAAATCAAGAAAAATTATTTTCAAATCAGCTGTTTTCTGAAGTAGACCTTCAGGTGCTGACATTAGCCCCAGACCTATCCAATGATTTGCAAGAGTCTCGTGCATTACTCACAAGACAATATTCAAGCAGGCTGTTCCTCTGGAAGAAGGGGAAGCTGCTACCAGGAAAGTCTTTTGCAACATTCACCTCTTCTCCCAGAACCCTGAAGAAAATCAGTATCCCAAGGAAAAAAAAAAAAAAAAAAAAAAAAGAAATAAACCAAAACCTGAAGAAACCTGACTCAGGAAAATATTGGCAATATAATTTAAAAGTCTTTATAAAATCAGATGAGAGACAATTAGGGTGGCTTCTAAGAATTTGAATGTTGATTAAAATTGAGTTGAATCTCCACACATTTTAAGTTTTACCCATCCCTAGCTACTATTCAAAGCCCAATCTTCCCCTTCTGTTCTAGATACAAAGCAATTGTAATGAAGAGTCACAACAGCTTGAACAAAGAGCACATCTACATTGTGCTTCCCAGAAAAAAAAACACCAAGGAGTCTACCATCACAGGGAAATTCAGCATCAGGAATACAGCTAGTCCATCCTGTGGCTATACAGGGCCAAAATGTGTTACCAAGCTATGCTGTGTATGGCTTGGAAGCAACTTTTCTCCTTCTAGAGCCTGTAAAGGGCCCCAAAGCCAGGGCACAGGGTTCAGTTAATAAGGATATCCACTGGGTTTTGGATTTGACCTTCAGTGTTACAGAATCATAGATCTTCTGATAATCTGCTCTGGCACTGCACTACCCTCCTACAA